AAAGAAAGAAAGAAAGAAAGAAAGAAAGAAAGAAAGAAAGAAAGAAAAGACATGGGTACCAGCATTCACATCTCTTAGCAGCTTATGCTGTTACTATCATGACTTCTCTGCCAAGACTGTGCCTTCAAACCATGAGCTAAAATAAGCCTGTCTCCCCTAAGCTGCTTTCATCATGCATTTGTCACTTTGTTACTTAGCAAAGTAACTAAAGCAGAGACACGGACATAATATACAAATCGGTAAGATCGGTTATGAGAAATTTGGACAAATGCACATTTAACCTTGAGATACTGAAAGACCATAATTGAAAAAGCTGTACATAGAACAGGAGATTTTCATGAGACTTGGCAGGAGATGCAGACCCAGAAGGTACCAGGTGCCCTCCCAGGTCCTTTACTTACCACATTTTGCAATTTTTAACATTACTGGGGAAGAGAGCTCAAGCTGCCTCTGTCTTCATAGGAAGGTTGTTAAATAGACTTCTGGCTAGCATAATCTAGAGGGTCCCCCTTAGATCTGCTTAGATTGGTGACTCTAGACACAGCCAAACACAAAACACAGCAAAGCCCCTTGTTGAGGATGGCCATTAAGGTCCTGAGCAGGTCTTGTCTTTCTGGTCAACCACATTCAGAACTAACAGGGGTTAGTTAGTTAGTTAAGAGGGGTCTTCTCACAGATAGGAAAGAGTAGCCTAAAGGAGTTGAAGGGAATGCCTTTAATTCATTGTAATTATAACTCTAACTTTGTTAAATATTTATACCCTTGGGGCAGGGATGACTGGCTGTCTTTTTCTTCCTTCTCATAGTAGTTAATAACATCTGCCTTCATGGGCCTTCAATGCCTTCCTTTTAGTTCTCCCTGAAGCTCTACCAATGGCAGAACTTTGGCAGGTGTGCTTTCATTTAAGAAAAATCACATTTACTAGAACTATTCTTTACTTACCAGAAAGACACTTACTTTAAGGGTATATTTCGCTGAGTCCCAACAAATGTTTATGCCTATGTGCACTTACAGGCTCCTTATGGGTTATTTCTGACAGTCCCAAAAGATGTCTGTGTGTACCTTTATTGTCTATTCTTCCCATGTCTTGGCAACCTTTGTTCTGCTTCCATAGCTTATATTTTCCAGATAATATATTTTTGAGGTAGAATATATCTTAGCTTCTACACATTCCAGAGTTTATATTTTTGAGGGAAAATTGTCTTCTGCTTGCCCAGCCGTATTTCACAGTAGCAAAAATAAACTTTAAACTTTGAGAGACTGTTGCATATAAGAAATGAAAAAACAAACAAACAAAAAGAAAAAAAAACCTGCTCATCTGTAAGATTTTTTTCTTCTACCCTTAATCTTGAAGTGATCGAGCATTTCAGCAACATGAATTGAGCTTACAGTACTGACTCCAACTCTCACACTACCTGCTGGAGAAGAAATGTTTCCTTTGAAAAGTCTCTTTCTCTTTCCCTCCCTCTCTCTCTCTCTCTCTCTCTCTCTCTC